CAGCCTGCACTCCTGGTGTGCACCCCCGTTGGTCATGTAGCATTTCTATTCTTTTGTCTCCCAGGTCTGTCGCTGGTGTGTCCTTGTCTATTGGCCATGAAGCATTTCTATTCATTTGTCTCCCAGGTCCATCACTGCTGGTGCCATGTAGCATTTCTATTTATTTGTCTTTCAGGTCTGTCACTGTGTCCGCCCGTGTCCGTTGGTCATGAAGCATTTCTATTCATTTGTTTCCCAGGTCCGTTACTGCTGCTATCCGCCCTTTTCCGTTGGCCATGTGGCATTTCTATTCATTTGTCTCCCAGGTCTGTCTGGTGTCCGCCTTCTTCGTCCGCCATGCAGCATTTCTATTCATTAGTCTCCCAGGTCTGTCACTGTTGGTGTCCACCCTTTTCCGCTGGCGATGCAACATTTCTAATCATTTGTTTTCCAGGTCTGTCACTGCTTGTGTCCGCCCTTTTGCGCTGGGCATGCAGCATTTCTATTCATTTGTTTCCCGGGTCTGTCACTGGTGCTGCCGCCCTTTTCCGCTGGCCATGTAGCATTTCTATTCATTTGTCTCCCATGTGATTTCTTTCTTTTTGTCTTTCAGGTTTGGTGCCTGCACTGCTGTTTTCTGCCCTGTCCGCTGGAACAGATTCGCCTGTGAAAGGTTCTTGCTCCTTTGCAAGGGGTGCGTGACTGTCTCCGGGATTGCATTCCTGCCGCACTGCGTAACTCTCTCAGCTTTGTTTTCCTTTTCGGGCAACCGTTGGATGAATGACCGGATTGGATTTCGGCGGCGTGGCAGCGATCTCTCTGTTCAGTTGGGGCGGAGGGCATACGTCAGGCACCAACAATCAATTTCATGTCACATCCTTCGCTCCTCACGCCTTTGTTTCTTGTCCTCACGTGGTCAGCTCCCCGCTGACTGAGCAGCATGACCAGCATCATGTTCGCGCTTGAAGAATAACTCCCCAAAAGGTTTACTGTTAGGGCTTCTCAATTCTTTCTTAAGATGTGTCCGCCCGCTCTGTACTGCTGTGTCCGTCTCTGCCTTGCAATCCTTTACATTTGTCTCCCAGCTCTGGACGTCGCAAGCTCTAGTTTCGATTTTGCAAAACACAAACTGTTTGGGGTCTACGGTGGTGTAATTTTCAAACCAACGGAGCTTTGCCACTGGCATCGCGCGCCGATGCTCCACCCGTGCTCCACCCTTCGGGCAGGCGAAATGCATTTCAAGGCGTTAGCGCCCATCAAGGCCGGTGAGTCATGGGTGGTCATGGGTGGTCAGTCCGCCCATTACTAGTGTCCTTGCTCCTAGTAGCGATGCCAGGAGCCCTTAGTTGCTTCTTGTTACTAGTGGTAAGGCCAGGAGCCCCTAGTAGCGTCCATGCGTGGTCTTTCAAGTCTCAGTGGTGGAGGTCTGGGTGTTCCCTTTTGGGTGGATGGCAAAAACATGCAAAAACCTTTCTTTTGGCGTTGTTCTTTCATTCTTTTTTTTCTTCTGCAGGTTCCAGAGTCTGGAAGGTCTTTTTTGTTTCACCTCAACAAGAATCAATAGCTGATCAAGAAGGTGGTCTTGTCAGCCTCGGGATCTGATGAGATCACAGATATCCAGGAGGTTCACCTCGCTCTTGGAGAGCCTCTGGGTGTTTGGGCTTTATGTTTGGGGGGGGGGTGGCGCTGTGGTTCTTTTTGGCCTGTGCCAGGTCAAAGGAAAGGCCAATCCCATTCCGATTTTCCAGCCCATGCCGCGCGAGGTGGGCTGGGTAAACAGGTCCGCCCAGACGAGACAGCTCTGTGAAAGAAGGGTATTTGATCATGAAGGCAGCTGGCAAAATCAGGTCTGTTTGTCCGTGGACAGCTCAAGCGAAATTCTGAAGCCATCATACATGCGTTGCAGCGTATCTGACATTCAGTTCACGTGTATGTATGACATTTTCTGATGCTTTTTTTGAGGCGAACGGCGTTTGTGGCCTGCTCCTTAAGACTCAGCACGCAGATGGATGTTCAGCTCTGACTAGGGGCCCAAGCAGTTCTCATCCGTCCAAGCAGTTCTCATCCGTCCAAGCAGTTCTCAGCGTCTGTAGGGATCATTGTGTTGCGAACCGTGAGAGATCAAGAAGCTTTGTCACTTTCCCGTCTTCTTAGCTCTCGCACTTGGGGGGTACTGAGGTGTGACCCTGGATCGAAAAATTCGATTCCCTTGGTACGTCCAGGGCTTGGAGAGTCCCGTGTAGATGGGGACTAGCGTACGTACATTCACGGCAGCTCCATTCATCAGCTTCCATTGCTTCGCCTCCAATTCTAGTTGCGAAGAATGCTTGCGTGTGTCCTCTTTCAATTCCGACCGTTACCTCCACCATAAGACGTTGTGGCAATTTGAAGTATTTTCTTTTCGAAACACGTCCTTTTCAATCCCAAACATCCCTTTCAATTTGAAGCCTTCACGCCGAGCACGCCGGAGCTTGACACACCGGCCAGCTGGCCGCAGCTCGCCTCCTCGGCGCCTCCTCTCCTCCGGCGAGGACCACCTGCTGGATGGATCGAGCTTGACATCGAAGGACCCAGTGACGGCCGCCAAGGCCAAGGCGCGACCGATCGGTACCGTGGATGTCGATGGTCGCGTGCCGGTGGTGGCCCGGTGGGGTGGACGAGTGGGGGGAGGTCCGAGGGAGTTTGTGGGGAAGAGGTGGTTGGAGACTTTTGAGGGTGAGCGTGGCTTGCGTTTTATGTGATTTTCAATCAGGAAGGATGAAAGGATAATATGAAAGGGATCAAGGCATCTACCAAGATTCCTACCGTAGGTGAAGGCAGCCAGGTTGAAGTTTGGAGTACACACACACACTGATATATATATATACACATCCCTTTATGCTTTACATATTTGTACATCACATGTGGCAGGTTTGAGAAAGAGGTGCCTGCCCTTTTGCTTGAAGCCGGCGAAGCCATTCAGCTTCTTTCCAGGTGCAGCATTTGTGCTCTATCCACAAGTGGACGGCGAACATGAAAGTGGCTGAGATGTTGGGAGGCTCCTTCAACAAGGCTCGTTCCGCATCGGAACGCCTCGCAGAACGGACGGTGCGAATGAAGACCGAACGAGGGGCACCTGGGGATTTGAGACTCCACACGGTCCCTATTCATTTGAGTGATGAGGGTGACATGGGGGTGATAAATAGGGAGCCAGTTCATGGGGTTTATGTACATGGGTAGCAGACAGGTTTCCGTGGCACGACATGTTCTGTTTGATACCTGTACCACTCTTCTTGGATGGTTCTTGGGTGACTTCCGATTTGGTAAAAAGCCGGGTCTTCTAGAGCGATTCATAGGGTCAAGCTGACGCATTGTGGTCCTACCACCTCCAAAAGCTAAGGGTTTCTCTGAAAATCCTCCAATAGACCAGTGTACTCACCTAACCTGCAGGCGGGCACCTCAGGCCTTTGATGGATGAATTTGGACATTCACCAAGTTGGAGCACCTGTCATGAAGGTTCCGAGCTTGGTTCCTGCCAAGACCGACCTGCGCAGGCCTTGCACTCTCCGGATTCCACCATCGGGACCAGCCCAGTTCGTGCAAAGGCAAGGTCCGCGCACAGGGTAGTGCGTGGTCGGTGGGCCCCTGGAGAATCATTGCAGGGAGGGGAACAAGGGATTTGCAGGGCTCGATTCAGTCTTCCCTGGGAGTCCGAGACTATGCTATGAATGGTCTTTAGGTGACACAAAAGCCATTTCCTTTATTTTCCTTTTATATTTCAGTGTTGCTAAGTATACAGTATCTATAATGTAAATCTTGTCTCTGAACTTCTAGGGTCTTAAGGACTGGCTTGAGAAGGGAATGCGAGTCGGAAGGCCCAGGTGCTAATAAACCAACAGCGTGGAAATACCGGGTCATAACACTTGTATCACTTATGATCACTTATTATGTATATTACGCCCTGAAATCATTATGGAAGTGGAGTGAAAGCCGCTTGTTTGATGTGAGGGTCTTTCAGGATCTTTCAATGATTTTTTTCTCCCGACTTGACCAAGCGGCTCCGCATTCGCCTTTTGCTACACAGGCACCTGCGGGCAGCCCCTTTGCAGATGGCGGTCTGGTGGTCATTGAAGGAGCCACAGGCTCCTGGGAGCGAGCAGTGAAGGTGGTCAGAGCGAAGCAGTTTCACGGATTTCGGAGGGAACTTGGAGATAGTGAGGTGGACAGAAGCAGAAGCAGTCGGGCCGTCCCGATGTTCCCGAAGGGCCTCGTCCCTATTCCCTGCAACCAAACCACCTCGAAAGGATCCCAAAGGTGAACGTTCCCTCCGCGAGGCACGGGGAAGATCGAGCTGGCGGAGCACATCGTGGCACACTGCGCCACGCAGTTCCAGACCATGCCGGTCTTCGGGACGATGGGGCCTAGGCGGGTCTGGTTTTGCTCTTCGCCACAACCGGCCGGGTTTCGCCCGCGGCACACTGTGATGTGGATAGGTCCCAAATGGAACGATGTCTAGTAAAGTTTTGATCAGCCTGTTATTCACCTTCCCTTTTCCATTACTCGGGGGGCATGGCTATATCTTGGATGACCTTAGACTCTATTGGAGGAAGACCGTGTATTATCTTAAGAGCTGCAGCTGGTCGGCCGGCATCACAGCGTTGCCTTGCACCTTCAACGCTGGGATCTGAATGGGGAAGGGATCCTGAAGGCCTCAGTTGGTGGAACATGTGACGAACTACGGTGGACTTGCCCTTAAAGCTGGTGATGTGCGGACAGCCAACTGCTCCTGGGGTCCTCTTCAGGGTTGGACAAGCCCCTAGTCGTCCCATGGACTTTCCTTCGACAGCCTCTCCAGGCCCGGTGAATCAACCCGCATGGCCATCGAACTTCTGAGAAGTACCGCTTGAAGCTCAGAGTCGAAGAGGTCGAGCCAGTGGACTGTGGCCCAGCCTGGCTGCGACTAGGGGCCCGAAGGGGTCCCATCTCTATTCCATTAAGGGCAGTGCCAGGCTTCCCTGCCCACCAGGGTCATCTACGTACCTATGTCTACCCAAGTTCTTCCCAGTGCAAGACGGTCTTTAAAGATGCTTTAACTCGGTGGGGCCCGAAAAGAGGTGGTTTCAAACCTCTTTTGTGTCGCATATCTTTTGGTGGTGCTTTAAGAACACATACGTCCGTGGGCGTCGGGGACGCTGAAGAACGGGCGGCCCTCTGCGTTCCGTTTGGTCACGGAGCAGTGCTGGATGCCAACGTCATCGCAGTTTCCCAATTGAAGGGTAGAGACCTCATCCACATCTCCTGAACAGCTGTTCTGCAGAAGGTGCTCTAGAAACCCTGCGCGGAATGCAGCGAGCGTAGTCACAGTGTTGGGGGGGTCACCCATGAGCTCAGATCCTTCAACCACGATCTTCAACAAGTGATCCTCATTCCATTGAAACATCTTCCAGCTCAGGACAGCCGAGGCGAAACCGAGTCCGACGGACCTCGACAATAGTTCTTTGACCGAGGTGGCAGTGCATCGGCTTCTCAACCAGAGCCTGCCGCCCGAGGATGCGCAGGCGGACGAAACGGGAAGTTGGAAGATTGGGTTTTGGATGGTTTTGGATTGTTTTGGGTCGAAGCACGGTGAAGCTGTATAGGAGGTTGGACGAGGATTGGGGAGCATGGAAAATTGAAGATGGGTAGGGAATGTGTTGCACTGGGGTGCTCCTTCAAGAAGACATAGCACGCACCACGCACCCAGCCTGAACCATCCTGAACCGATCTAGCAGAGACCAGCCGAGGCGCTCGAAAAGTTGCTGCCACAACAGCACGCCCTTGCCTTAGTCGTCCGCCCACAGATGCCTGTTGTACGTGGATGGTGATCCTGAAGGCTTCGAAACTGGAGACCCCCAAACTCACCCAACTCACCGTCCGACCCCACGGGACTCCGACCCCTCAGACGGTCCGGCACCTCCGACCGAACGACGAACCGGGGTTCCGCGACCGAACGTCTGGAGAACCCGGGGGGAAGCGTCGTCTCGTGCAGCGAGTTGGCCTAAGGCCGGTAGCTTAGAGATGTTGACGGACCTCGTGGAGGAGCGGGCGCTGGCCGACACGGCGGCGGTCTTGGATGTGGCCTTGAAGGTGTGGATCTGGCCGCAGATCGAAGAGAGAGGGAGATGGAGGGACTGGACTCCGACCCCCTGGGGATCCGACCAAAAGCCCTACGAACCTCCGGACCTTCAAGTTGAAAGGGTTTGGTTCGGGTCTCTGGCCCCCAGCGTCTCTGAGTGATTCAATCGCTGTTGTCTCCAGAATCGTTTTCCCTTCTCCACGCTTGAAGGGATATATTTCATCGACGGAATCGGAGGGGTTGTTCGTCTACATCCAGTCGACAGACGAACAGATCCTGCCCAAGTGGCTGATGTCCAAAGCCATCAGATCCGATACCTTTCGAGTAGTAACAAGAAGCTACTAGTAACTAGGGCATCGCTACTAGTAACAAGGACGCTACTAGGGGCTCCTGGCATCGCTACTAGTAACAAGAAGTAAACCCTTTTCGAGATGGGGGTTGTTCGGTCTACTTCCTGATGCGTCGACCGCCATGATGTGCCGTCGGGGTGGTTCGGATCGACCCGTCGGTGGTCGCTGAAGTTGGAGGATTTTCTATCTCAAACGGTGGTTCGTCTGTTGCTAAGAGAGCCAGACGAGCAGTGGAGTTGATCAAGCTTTCAAGGATTATTGTATTTTATACTGTTAATCGTTATCATTATTGTTATTGTTATTACATGTTATTACTATTATGTTTTATTCTTGCATATTGTTTCATTATTGTTATAGCAAATTCCCTTTCTGTGTGATGCTTGAAGCGTTTTCGAGCGATCGACGTTTGTGTAGTTGAGACCTGACATTGTGAAGCCCTTTTTTTGTCCGAGGGAAATAGCGCGAGGGAACGTCGCGAGCACTGTGGGTTATGAGCCCAAGTTTGCGCTTTTTTTAGTGCCATGTCAGAGAACACGAGTGAGAAAACGCCGGATTCGACAAGACCGAAGGCGTTGGAGGACATCCAGCCAGAGCATGGCGCTCTTGTTGGTCCTGTGGGCCCTCCGGTGTCGTTAGGCCCGCAGGTGAATCCCTTTTGGAGTGAAGCCATGAGGGACGAGGCGATCCTCCGGGCATGTCGTCCAGCTCATCTTCCTGTTGAAGGACAGGAAGCTTGTCCCACTCAGGTATCCACCTCGAGCCCTACGAGAGAGCCTCCTGAGGTCCTTCGAGCGATGATGGGACTGATGCAGGAGAATGCTCGCCTCTGGTCCGAACGTGAGGCCATGGTTGGACCTGGGGCTTGGCGGCAGCATCCTGGTGTTTGTGGACCACCACAATCGTGGGCTGGAGGTGCCATGGGAGAAGGGTATGGTCAAGACAGGACAATGGTACATGCCATGATGGAGGCCATGAGGTCGTCTATGGGTGTAGCTGCTCCACCGAAGGAAAGGGGGTTGCTGGGGGCTCTGGCGACTCCTCTTGAGCATGGTCATGGGGGACTTTTTCAAGGGCACGATTCGGGACTCCTTGGAGGTTTTGGCGCCTCAGCCAAGGGGAATTTGATGGACATGTTCAACATGGTGGCGGGCATGAGTCAGTGGGGTTCTATGCCACGTGCTGGGCAGGATGGGGGTCAGGCCGTGATGGGTGTGGCTTCCTCAGGAGCTCAGTCGGGAAGAGCCTCGAGGCCACCAGTTGGGGGTTCCAGTGAGGAGCGTGCTTCGGGGCAGGAGACGGATGCCTTGGGCCAGGATTCTCATGGACAGGAACGTCAAGGAGGTGCTAATCTTCCAGGAGGGCAGCCAGGTGCAGTTTCCGAAGGTGGTTCAGCTCAAGGCGGTTCCGGTATTCCTCCTGGTGAACCTGGGCGGATGGGAGCTGGGGCCAATGCTGGTGGTAGTGGTTCTGGAGCTTGGCAGCCTTTTGGAGATGGTCCGTCGGGGAATGGTGGCTTTCCTGGTGGTGGGGGGGCATCGTGGTCCCGGTGGAAATCAAGGAGGACCTATCAACTACGGAGGATTTCCGAATGGTGGTCCAGGTTTCCAGGCGGTGGGTTTCCCGGTGGACCTCCTGGTGGCGGTGGGCTACCAGGTGGTGGTGGGTTTCCAGGTGGACCTCCTGGTGGCGGTGGACTACCAGGCGGTGGTGGACTACCAGGCGGTGGAGGATTTCCAGGTGGTGGTTTTCCTGGTGGTCCTCCGGGAAATGGTCCAGCTGCGTTTGGGCCTTTGCCAGCGTGGTTGGGCGGCCTTATGGCCCAGCAGGAGTCGATTCGTGCTGTTGATCTTCCTGCTCTTCCTGAGCTGTCAGAATCGGAGGTGGGTCCTTTGGTTGCAGGAGACTGGATGACCACGATTGGCCCATTTCTTCGAGACATGAGTTCGAGCTCATCGCTGTGGTGGGACGAGGTGCTGCGGGTGGCGGGTGCTTTGTATCGTGTTTGGTTGGAATCTGAGCCAATGGAGCGACTTCGTTTGATGCCGGTGTCTCCTCCTGCTTTTCAAGTTCCGCCATGGCTGAGGATCGAACAGAGGGGGTCAGTGGCATTGCTGAAGGCCCTTCCAGAATCTTTGAGGTCCGAGTTGGTGGCTCAACGAGAGGTCAGTTCCATCGGGATCATGTTCAAGGTCCTGAGGGTCTACCAGCCGGGTGGACTTGGGGAGCGGACGACATTGCTCAAGCAGCTTGTGGACCAGAAAGTTCCGTCTCCGCTTAGCGAGTGGATGGTGGCACTTCGCTCATGGAGGAGATGGCTGACCAGGGTGCAAGAGCTGGGAATCCAGCCTCCTGACCCGGTGCTGTTGTTGTCGACGCTGGACAGGTTTGCAGCGGGTTTGGCACGGCATTCACCTCAAGTGGCGTTCAGGCTGCAGATCACGAGGGCGGCTCTTCGTGTGGACACTGCTCCAACTGAGCGGAGCACCCATCAGTTTTCGGAGTCCTTGTTGGCGGAGGGTGAGGCGGTGTTCCATGGAGGGTCATCTCTGCCGATCCAGGACTCAGTGAAGGTCAAAGCATTGGGTTCCGACCCGGGAGGCACCAAAGAAGAGGTGATGAAGAAAGAAGGAAAAGAAAAGTCAAGAGAAGTTCATGATGGCAAAGATGTCCGTGAGGGAAAGGAGGCCAGAGGAGGAAAGCCCGATGCTAAGGGCAGCAAAGGAGAAGTGAAGCCGACCTCAGGGGAGAAGCCAGTTTGCAGATACTTCATCTCTGAGTCCGGTTGCAAGAAGGGACAGAAATGCACCTTTCCCCACGAATGGAAGGGGATTTCCAAGATGGGCAGATGCTGGAATTGCGGCTCGTCGCAACACATGAAAGCGGATTGTCCGGTGAAGGAAACTCCGCGTGTGAAAAAGGAGGGTGTGGATGAGAAAAAGGGCAAGGAGACTGACTCCAAGCAGGGGGAGAGTTTGAGCTCGTCATCGACAGGTGCAATCCTCTTTCATCCTCCTGCTGATCCTGAACCAGCTCCTGCAGAAGCATTAGTGAAGGAAGCGGTCCAGTTGCTCAAGTCGTTGCGACCGGCCATGAAAGCGGTGACAGTCTGTGCGGTGAAGGAGGGCAAGGGGCATTTGAGAGCTCTACTTGATGGAGGAGCAACTCACATCCTACGCCCAGCCAAGACGAAGGCAGAGTTCGAGAAGGCTGTACCAATCAAGGTTGAATTAGCTGCAGGTGTGGCTACTCTTCGACAGGTGCAGACTACAGGAACTTTGGTGACGGACTTTGACACCCAGCTGATCGTGCCCTTGGGGAAGGTGGTGAAGTTGGGCTACAGAGTGACATGGGAGGGTGAGCAGTTCGAGATGGTAGATCCGACTGATGCCAAGATCGATGTGGAGTTGGAAGCGGGCTGCCCTACCGTGGATTTGAAGACCGCCCAGAGGTTGATTGAGGAGCTTGAAGAAGAGGAGATGGAGCTGGACAGGCGAGTCAGAGCGTTGAGGGCAGGTGATCCCGGTGATCTATCTCCGAACATCTGGCGGTGGTTGGTGGATCTTCGAAAGATGTGGCCGGAGGTGCCGGATGAGCTCTTAGCCCGAGTTGTGCCTTCTGGTCGTTGGTCGGGGGAGTCGGTCCCTTTCAACAGGCATCAAAGGAAGCGTCTCTTCTCGGCTGACTCGGTGGTGCTGCACCTGTTCTCAGGGCCTGATCAGGCTTGGTGGAGGAAGCGATTGGAAACCCAGCATAGAGCCGTCGTGTGTGTGGACAAGATGGTTGATCCGGCGCAGGATCTGCTCTCTGACCAGTTGGCAAGTTTCCTGGCTGACTTATGTGAAAGAGGATCGGTGGATGTGATTCTGGGGGGGCCCTCCTTGTAGAACGGTCTCAAAGCTGCGCTTTCGTCAACCTGGTCCACCTCCTCTTCGGGCAAGGTCAGGGCCGGAACGATTTGCGCTGGAAGCCCTATCAGATGTTCACCGTGACTTAGCTTGGAATGATGCCGTGCTTTGGATGCGTCAGTTGTGGCTCTATGCTCTGGCTTCGGCGGCAAGGACAAGGTTGGTGCTGTTTTTGAAAGAACATCCACGGGATCCAGAGGAGTATAAGGATAGTGAAGACCCAGTGGAGTATCCATCCTTCTTTGCATGGCCGGAATGGAGGGTGTTTGTGGAGAAGTACCAAATTCGAGAGGTTCGGCTGGACCTGGGTGCTCTGGGACATCAACGTCGGAAACCTACGACCCTTGGCACGAACCTTCAATACCTTCATCGGCTAGAAGGTCTACGGGATCTTCGTCGTCCTGGTGATCATTCTGAGGTAGCAGGCGATTTGGGACAAAGGATGTCCACAAGCCGCTCGTGGGCGGCATGGCCGGAATCCTTCAAGATTGAGATCACCAAGGCAATCCTCCTGGAGCTTGAGGGGTACCAGAGGTTGAAGGATGAAGTGGATGATCAACCACGGACCGCAAAGATGACTGCAGAACAGTGGAGACAGCACGTCATGAACGACCATCTTCCATACTCTCGAGAGTGCTCTACTTGCCTTACAGGAAGTGGGCGATCTCGTCCTCGCAAGAGGGTTCAACACCCGGATGCTTTGACCTTGAGTGTTGACATCTGTGGGCCTTTCCGACCAGGTCATGATAGGAGGGCAAAGGCCAAGTACTTCATGGTGGGCGTGTTCTCGATCCCGGTGAGGAAGGTGGAGGGAAAGGTCACTGCTCTACCGTTGAGCCTGGAGGAGACTCTAGGAGGTCGTGATGGTCAGGGTGAGCCTGAAGGGGAGGAGCTTCTGCCTGCCTT